AAAGCATGCAAAATACATACTTTTTTACCTTCAAGATTCATGTAGCTAACTTAAAGCACCATAATCCTTTTTTCCTATCATACTGAATTTACACATTCATAAACTGAGGTGGAGATTCATCATCATCATCATTTTGCTGACTCGGTTCCTCATCTTCAGAGCCTTCCTCATTTGTTCCCGGCAGATTTGATCGCAACACAAGTCGACTATGCGAGGCATTTTCCGGCATAATAGATTCTTAAAAATAATGTACAGGCAATACAAAACCGTAAGAAGCTTTTGCTGGGAAGCTATTATCGACACAGTATCTTAAACAAAACCATATTCAAAAGTGTAGAGCCTGATTGTTTCGCACACACCCCCTTGAATTTCGTCAAAAAGAAAGTGCATTTTCCAGGTGGTGTTTTATTCTTTTTGGTAATTATACCATAAGATCCAAGGTAAACTACACTTACCTTAAAAATCTGATTTGAAACTTATGCTCTTCGCTTTTGTATATAAAAAGTACTGATTGTAAAAATCTACAAGAAAAAGAAAAATCGAATGAAACTGATTCACCATCCATTTGACTCAGTTGCGGTACACCGAAAATACTTTGTGCAGGATTAGCAGCTAAACTTGCTCCGTAACCAGCACCCGTCGCACTGCTTCTTCTCAGACTCTCCTCATGCATTCCTCTCAAGAACAGAGTTTGAATGCGCATACCTGCTCCAGCGGAGTCCATATCAATCCCTAGAGTAATGTCTAAGATAGATGCCCACAAAAACTGTAGACGAAATGCTTACCACTTTGCTGCAAGCTACGAGTTAATGAATCTACTGCTTGTGGATTTACTTGATTGAGTGTAGAGAGCAACCCCCCTCCGAGGGAATTGAGCGGTCCGTCCATACGATGGAGCCCGTCTCCTGAAAGCAGAATATTTTTTTCAACGAGCCGCAATGCCCTCTATTGCGAATATACACTACTCAGGGGCATAATGGCTTAAAAAGGGAGATCGCTGGGGCATATAATCGCAATAGAAAGATCAGAATTTTGAGAAAAATAGTTCCATTAAAAAAAAGTGGAATAGGAGCAAGTTGTCGTTTTTAGCAAAGCATCTTTTTATCCTCAAGTAACAAAGCAAAAATGATGGGTGTCCACTTATCCTGGAAATGTCAGCAAGAATACGCCGAACATTCTGCAAATTAATTTATTAGCATGAACTGTGATCAAACAACCACTCTGCTCAAAGCGAAAGGTTCTGGCTAAGCGTGGATTAAAATTGTGCTCTGGGAACGACTTCAAAGAAGCAACTTCTTTCTATGTGCGAATACGCTGCATTGGTAAG